CCCCCCCACCCCCCATATGCCTAGCTACTGTTTGGCTGAAAATTGCATGAATTCTGTCCCAGACATGAAAGGTTGTTGAGGGCCATAGTCCAGCATTTCTCCAGTGTTTGAAAGAATTTATTTATTGTTGCTGTTAAACCACAAGTTAGTACTCATAATACAATTCAGTGTTGATGTGAAAGTAAGTAAACCACATACATGCATCAGTTTAGATAAAGATAGTATAAGCAAATCAGAGAGGAAAAGGAAGAGAGATCTTTTAAGATGCATTTTTAAAAGCCCAATAAAGTTTGCACACTGATAGACAAATGAACAACAGCAAAAAAAAAAAAAAAAAAATCCCAAACACTCTGGGTCAGAAGTCCAACACAAGACTCTAGGGCTAAGTGTAGTCCACCAAGCTTCCCCTTGTATGCAGTCCATGCTGTAATTTCTGGAGTTTCCTGGTCTTAAATCCCAGCCCAGCAAGGCCTAACTCAGCCCTGCCTTGTATAGGTTAGTGTTTTCCCTTGCTTACACCAGTTGCTCCTCGGAAACCCTATACAGGGTCACTATGGGTCAGAATCGACTCGACAGCACTTAACAACAGCAATCATTTTTCTGGCCAAAAGTCCTGAGGGCAGATTGACTTACTCTGGAAAGGGTGATTGAAATATATAGTAATTGAGAGTACCATTTCCAAAGTAAAATTTACATTTCTACAATGGCTCTGTAAAGAACTGATGAATACCATGCATTTCAAATAAGTAGATTGAGGCACTCTGCTCATTTTTTTTTGTGTTAAGGAAGCCCTGAGTCTCATATTAAAATTTTAAATCTATTTTAAAAATAAAATGCTAATAGACATTATGAGACCTTTTTTTTTGTAATTCCATTGATTCAAAAAGTCCCTCAAAGAAAACCCAAATAAACCAGAAATACCTTACTCAAATATTGTGGTGTTTGCTATTTATTTATTTTCACAATTTTAGCTAAGAAAATGAAAACGTTCTCTGATGTGGGGAAGAAAAAAAAACAAAAACAGGCGCATGCTTGCAGTTGCAGATATATTGTTCTTGATTTTAAATGTTTTCTTTTTCTCAGTTATCCTTCATGGGGAAAAATTCTTTGACCACTGCTAATAAATAATTGTTAAATCAGTGTTTTCTGTTTTAGTTGAATGTGCTTTGCTTTACCTTTATGTTTTAGGCAGATGGGAAATAGAAGAATTGAAAGAAAACCGAGTACCTGGTGACAGAGGACTGGTACTGAAATCGAGAGCAAAGCATCATGCAATTTCTGCTACCTTATCAAAACCCTTTGTTTTTGCTGATAAACCTTTGATAGTTCAGTAAGTTTTGTGGTGTTTCTGAATACTTTTTCTGAATTTTGTTTTACTTTTGTACAATTTCATGTCAGAATATATTTCATTTTTGGAAAATGGGTATAAAAATCCAGATGTCCTTTTTTAGTTTCATTTGCTTACATATACAAATATATATACACACACCCCAAAATTCTGAATGAAGAGCAAACTGAGTTTAACATAATAACTGTATAACATATGCCTTCCCCACTACAAACTCCTTGTTGTTATTGTTAAGGGCCATTTTAACTCTTTTTCTTAAAATTACTTGCATTTAAGCTGTTAACCTTCATGTTATATTCGTAATGGAACCAGACATCGGATTCATAGACAGATACTTTTTTTAAAGGATATATATGTATATAGGTCGCTTTCTTTCTTTTAAGAGTGGAACCCTTTTAAATGGAACATATTTGCATAGACATCCCCTCAGCCCCCATACTGACAAACTAGTTTTATTATGATGTTGCTTAAATGTGTACTGTCATAAAATCAGGCATAATCTCCTCATGTTTATTTAACAAAAACTGTTATAAAACCAAAACAGATCTACAAATTTAATACAAGCATAATTATAAAGCCAGTTGTTGTTGTTGCTAAGTGCCGTCGAGTCGGTTCCGACCCATAGCGACCCTGTACAGGGTTTCCGAGGGTGTAAATCTTTACGGGAGTAGAAAGCCTCATCTTTCTCCCGCGGAGCGGCTGGTAGTTTCGAACTGCTGACCTTAAGGTTCGCAGCCCGATTCGTAACCACTACGCTACCAGAGCTCCTTAAGCATTAAATTAAAGCCAAAACAAAAAAAGGAAGTATATAAACATTATACTCTACCTTGTATCATAAATTTTGGTGGCTGTCTTGAGTTCATGACAGCATATGAAAAGATCATTAACGATATCACTCCAGATTCCTTTATTTTTTGTTAACATATTAAACATATTCTTATATGGCATAACTAAATTACTGTGTTCTATTTTAGAGTTTCTTGAATTTGATGTGGTGTTGGTGCTGGTTATGTGCCGTAGAGTCGGTTCTGATTCATAGAGACCCTGTACAGAATTTCCGAGGCTTCAAATCTTTATGGGTGCAGAAATCCTCATATTTCTCCTGCAGAACAGCTGGTAGTTTTGAATTGCTGACTGTGGATTAGAAGCCCTACTTTGCTATCAGAGCTCCTTTGAATTTGATGTACTTGATATAATTCTTCAGTTGTGCTAATTTGGCTTAGTCAACTTTAAACCATTTCACTGAATTTAAAATATATATGCAATATCAAAAATGATGTGACCAGTACATAAACAAATGAAAAATATTGTTATAGGTACTTACTGGAACTAATGTTTGAGCTTGTTTGAGTTTGTTACTCAGAGGTCTTCTGTGTTTGGTTTTTTTGAAAGTTTGAAGGTAATCTTATTACTTTATGTAAAAATAATACTACTTTCTATTTTGATTCTTGTGACTTAAATGAAAAAGTAAAGGAAAATAATATAAAGTTAAACTTCTCCAGAATAAATGAACTACATTTTGCATTTTCAGTATAAAGACAGCCAAAATGTATGATACAAGACAGAGCATAATGATAAATAAAGTGAGAAAATGATATCTTGTAAGATAAAATGCAAAGGTTGGGAAATTCATCTATAAAGAATATTAGTAAAGAGATTGTAAAATGGCTTTCCAGAAATAAGAAAAGGAAAGTAAAATGAATTGAATAGCAGTTTTTCATCTATTCAGAAACAGTTTAAAGAGGAGAGTAATATTTGTGTTAATACTGAGAAAAAGAAATGAGCTAGATAGGAAGTGATTTTATATTAAATATGGTAACTGCTAAGGATTTATGACAACCTTTTTTTTCAAATTGTGGATATTTTAATCTGTATTATGTTATCATGCAAGTTTTAGAAACAGAACATATTCATTTTAGATATAGGATACCTATGAAAATATACAGCTGTTTTACCTATAGAAACCTGTTTTTATACTTCATACTACATCCCAAACATATTTCATAATGGAATTTGTTTTCCCTCAACAACAATTACAATTTCATAGAGCAGTTTGGCAAATGATACTCTAAAAAATTATTTGCTAACATGTATTCTGCATATTTTTCCTAGACTTAAAGTTAGCAGCAGTCAGCTTTATATATGATGTATATATTTCACTAACCCTCTACTCCATGACGAATTATACTAGGAACAATTTAATGGTATGAAAACAGAAAGTTTTGCAGTGTGTAAGACATACACAGTGATTGAATCTAGGCATTATAAGACAACTTATAGAGAAAATTTATGAAAATGTTCTTCCTACTTCCTTCCTTTTCACAAAACCCCTTTTTTTTTTTTTTTGGGAACACCTATAATAAAGCTGTATTATGTTTTTTTCTTTATTCTTCATAAAAATAGATACTTACTTTTAAGTCATACTGTACACCATTTCTTCAACATTGTCTTTAAAAACATAAGTTCCATGAAAAATTACTTTGTCACCTATTTTGTAAAATAAAACTATTGGTAAAGACTTTCAGAAAAACAAATGTTCTTTATTTTAAAAGAAAAACCCACATTAAAATCCTTATTTTCTGATCATAACAAAAATTAACATTTTGAACATTTTTTCTTCATCATTGTACATTGTTATATCATTTAATCCTCTTAACAATCCTTTGAGGTATTTTTGTTAAGTGCCGTTGAGTCAATTCTGACCCATAGCGACCCTGTATAGGGTTTCCAAGGAGCAGCTGATGAGCTTGAGTCACAGACCTTGCAGTTCAAACGACTTTTCATAATAGCTCATAGCGCCACACCAGGACTTCATAGGTATAAGCAATGTCCCTATTTTATGGATGAGCAAATGAAAGCTTAGTTTAAATAATTATGAGCTAGCTTAAACACTGTTGTTGTTGTTGCTGTTAAGTGCCATGGAGTTGAATCTGACTCATCTCGACCCTATGTAGGGTTTCTGAGAAGCAGCTGGAAGGTCTGAACTGCTGACCTTGTTGTTAGAAATGCAGTGCTAATCCTGTAACACGGTAGTAGCAAAATCAAGAATAAATCTCAGGTCTTTCTGACTTCCAAAGCCTATGCGTGTAACTACTCACTTAAACAACTTGACAAAGAATAGTTGAAAGGAGAAATTAAAAATAATATTTCTGTAATTACTTAAGATTTTATTGTATTTCTCTTAAAAACCAAAACAAAATATATACACTATTTGTTATAATATTGTATCTTATTTTTTAATATTTTTTGTCACTAAAATTTCTTCAGAAACATTTCTAACTACAAACTTTTATTAAAGTTATCACTAGTTGCTATTCTGTAGTTTTCATATCTTTAATACATCTAACCAAAACATAATCCTTTGGTTTTCACTTATTTTCACTTTTCAGCCACTTCCTCATTGGTTTTTTGTTGCAAATAATTGATCAAATTACCAAAAGTGCCTTTTAATTGCTCTTCAATAAATCTGCTCAAATTGCAAAGCAAGGCTTAACTTTTTTAAGAGAGCCTTTTACTGAAATGACTCTCATTTCACTATTTTATTTGTTATACCATATTTCTCATGCTTCCTGGCTGTAAGGGTCTATGAATCATTCCAGGTTATTGACTGAGATTCTGAAATATCTTTGCTGGAACAATTTAATTGAATGTATAACTTATTTAACATGGTTTAGGTGTGGTGGTGGTGGTTATGTGCCGTGGAATTGGTTCCAACTCATAGCGACCCTGTACAGGGTTTCCGAGGCTGTAGATCTTTAGGGGAGCAGAAAGACTCATCTTTCTCCCGCAGAACAGCTGGTAGTTTCGAACTGTTGACCTTAAGGTTTGCAGCCCGATTCGTAGCCATTACGCTACCAGAGCTCCTTGCTTTAGGTGTAGTTGAACTAAAAAACAAATTGATAGTTAATTGGATATCTAACATCATTAGCAGTTTATTAAAATTCTATTGCTATACTTGCAGTCTGTATGAACTTTGTTAGGGTTTATATATATATATATATATATTATATATATATAGAATATTATGTATGTTGTTGTTGTGAAGTGCTGTCGAGTTGGTTCTGACCCATAGCGACCCTGTGTAGGATTCCCAGGGAGCAGCTGGTGAGCTTGAACTGCCAGCCTTGCAGTTCAAACGGCTTTGCAGTCTGGCGCTTTAACCGAGAGCGCCACACCAGGACTCCTGCCTATGTTATCTGAATTTGAAATTTCCTATTAAAGTATTAGTCAAGTTATCTTATTCTTATTTCAATAGTTTTGTTGGAAGAAAGTATTTCATCAAATTGTTGGAAGAAAGTATTTCAACAAATTGGTTGACTTTCTGTAGTTGGTTATAAGCAGTATATTTTTAATATTTTGATGATATGCATGCTGTTGCAGTAATAGAAAAACATTTTTGGTTATTTCCTAGGAATTTTATATGGGTTTATTTATAATGTAAAACATTTATGTTTGAATGAATTGAGAATGATACCGTGGATTTTAAAGAACAGTAGTTTTTGTCGGAAGTGTGATTTTTTTTTTCCCTTCATTTAGATATGAAGTAAATTTTCAAGATGGTATTGATTGTGGAGGTGCATACATTAAGCTCCTAGCAGACACTGATGATTTGAATCTGGTATGATATTTTAATATTTAAGAAAACCTTTTTAAAGTTAATAAGTCATTTAAAAATAGCTGAAAAAATTGAAAGTCTTATTTTCAACTGAAAAGACCGTAAGTTTTTCTTTATCCTTATCAGTTTAAATCATCTTTATGATTTGCCTTCAAGTTTCATATAAAGTTGTACCTCTTTATGACATGACTTTTATAATCATTAGTAGTATAAAAAATAGTTTACCATGTCTGTAAATGAAAGTAACATGTTTGTGAATACCATTGAAAAATTAGATCTGAGTTGCTTTTTTCAAAATAATAAACATAAGTTTGTTGTTCATAGAAAAAATAACTTAGCAAAGCAGTGAAAGGAAATGACCTAAGAACCAATAAAAAAAAGTGGGTTCAGTTTAAGAATTGTCAACCTACAAAAGATCCAGACAATAACTCATTTTAAAATCATTTCATGAAGTCTTAAGAGGTTATTTTCAGAGCATTTGAGGTCAGGAGCATTTCTAATTACATTTTTTTAAAAGGGTTACTGAATATAATAGATGTAAGAAAATTGAGACATCAATGAGATCTTTGTCAGAGTGTGAGTCTGTGCATAGGCTATGAAACATAGATTAAAGGCTTTGGGTAGTATTATTACAATCAGGAAAAGGAATGTCATTTATGTAAAAGTTCTTGTTTTAGATATTGTCAAGTGATCACCACTTAAATATAACAATAATAAATGCTAATATCAAGTGCTTTTATAAACATTTCATCTTATTAGTGCTGCTGATCCTAGAGAAACCTTGCAAGGTGAACACTGTTATTATTTCCTGCAAAAATATGAGGCACCAACCATTCTTCCCACAGCACTCTCTCTACCTCTCAACAGCATTCAATAATCCATTGTAATGGCCACACAGAACTCAGATTCCATACTCAGAATTATGAGGTGTATTAAGGAAGTTAACAGGTTAAAATTTAGGGTCAGAAATGCTCTGAGCATAGTTGTTCCAGTCAGCTGCTGATAAATGCCCATAGAATACAACACTCCTCCCTAAACCTCAGCCTAAACTAAAGGCACTCAGCTTTAGTTCCCTGGGTCAGCAAACCTAGCACCCTACTCTAAGAGCAAGCTTCCTGCCCAGAGTCATTCAGCTTTACTTGCTCTGTGGGCTGGGAAGTCCACTGCTCTGTTTCGTGCTCTGGTTCTTGGTGCTGCTGCTTGTCTACCACTCCTCTGGTTTCACAGCTTTCTGTCCCTGGTTCAAGGGGGTTCAGTGTGCAAGGATCTTGGGCCCAAAGGACATGCTCCATTTCTGGCTTCTCTTCTTTGATGGGAGTGAGATCCATCCCCTCTACCCCTCCTGCTTCTGAGATGGCTCATTTTAAGCCCATGCTAGAGTTTCAAGTTTTTACAATTTTAATAAACTCTACTAACATCCACAGCTGAAACATGTCATCCTGTCAGTATCTTCTTCCACCATTTCTTAGCCAGATCCAGCATGGCAGAAATATTGATTGGTGAGATTTACACACTGTGGTTAGAAAAAATACTAGAAAATTCACGGCACCGCATCTCTGTACTACAGAGGGGATGAAACAAGAAATTTGTTCAGGTCTACTATGTTGTACTGCAGATAAGCACTGGAGTGCTAACTGCCAGGTTGGTGGTTCAAACCCATCAGCCACCCCTTGGAGACCCTATATAGCGTCCCTATGAGTCTGAACCAACTTGACAGCACTTAACAACAACATCTAGCTAGTGTAGTTGGTAGTAGTAGAATTCGAACTCAGAAGTCTGACTCCAGACCCCATGATCTTAAACACTGTGCCAATTATATTCCTGAACAAATTTGAACAGGTTGTGTGTCTCTGTGCCTCTTTTTTGTGTCTGAATCTGTGCTCAGAAGAGTCCTTTTCTAATGTCTTCTTAGATGATAGCAACGAATAGCTATTGTAGTCTTAAGGTCTCAGATACTCTTTTCTCTAATTGCTATTGGGTCTTAAAATATTAATAATACAGGTTTACATAAAATAATTAAAGCTTATGCTGCTACTAGGGGAAGTTAAGCTTTTCTCCTGCATTTTCAGAAATGGAAGTAATGTGCTTTTTAAAAAGAAAATCTAACACTGTTTTCAAATATAATCTGTCATTTTCCCACATTTTTTATTGTCACTTAATTCATATGAAATCTTTGGTGAATTTTCAGTTAATATCTTTTTCTCAGCTCTACACAGCTTGGTAAAATAGAGAATTCATTAAATACTCTGTAATTCTTGACTAACTTCAACACTCATTTCTCTTTGAAGGAAAACTTTTATGATAAAACTTCCTATACCATTATGTTTGGACCAGATAAATGTGGAGAAGATTATAAACTTCATTTTATCTTCAGACATAAACATCCTAAAACTGGAGTTTTTGAAGAGAAACACGCCAAGCCTCCAGATGTAGACCTTAAAAAATTCTTTACAGACAGGAAGACGCATCTTTATACCCTTGGTATCTCCTTTTAATTCACTTATTTAGAAATCTTTGCTGACTACTGGGACATTCGTGACAAGTGCTTTGGGAGAAATAAACATGAATCTTACACTTAAGGAGCTTATCTTTTGTAAAAATAAGACCTACATAAACCATTACAGCACAAAGTAGACAATAAAGTGCCATATGAGAGATACAAGTGAAGAACAGTTAAAAGTTCAGAAGCAATATTATTTCCGGTTTGGAGATTCAGAAAAAAAAAAAACTAGTAAAAGAGATTATATTTTAAATTGTCTTAAGGTATCGACAGAATTTGGAAAACTGCAGGAGTGGGAAAGGATGCTTTCTGTTCTGTGAAGTTGTGTAAAGAGGGGAAACTAGAAAGTACGGTTAAAGAGCGAAAGGCCTTGAATGCCAACCTGAAAAGCTTACGCTTTCTTCTATAAGCAGTTGTGCTTACTGTTAGGTCCCATGTTTGCATGGTGGGTATGGCACATTATTTAAATATTGACAGGAAAAGCATACACTAAGCATATGCTTTTATCAACATACTTAAGTATGTCAGAGTCTGCATGGACATTGGTGTATTATATGAGGGTATTTCTTATATGATACACATAGTTCTGTCTGTGATTTCTTTGTTCTATGATTTTTTTTAATCTTAGCATGTGAAGAACTAACAGGACATTTTCAAGTGATCCTGTCAGCTTTCTTATTCATGTCTCAGAGCCATCCATGACTCTGGTAATTTGATTTTCTTTATGAAGACTGCAGTTAACAAAAAAAAAAAAAAAATTGTTTTTTCTGCCAAGCCAATGCCCAATTTTTGTTTGATGTCAGCAATTATGTTGAAATTCTTTTTTTCTGAAATAATTGAAATGTAATACTGGACATTTTGAGAAACATAAATAAAACAGAAACAATGAGAAATTATAACCAGAAAAGAAAAAGTGAATTCAATTTAATTTGACTTTGCACAAATCAGGCCAAAAGCACTTTGGTAGTATATATATCAAATATTCATATTCTTTGAGACTACAATCCCACTTTCAGGAATTTATCAATGGAAATAATTCAGAAAAAAGAAACTAACCTATGTGTGATGATGTATTGAAAATTTGAAGTAATGTTATAATAGGAGAGTTTTGTATCTGAAAGTGATGATTATAAAAATAGTTACCAGTGGGTGGAAATGCTTACAATACTAAAATGGAGATAGAAAGCAACATTAAAATTATAAGCACATTGTGATGGCTACTTGGAAAATTATGCAAGCAAATAGAAAACTCATTTAACAACAACACTATAGTTTGTAACAATTATAATTATAACAGCATTGTACTTATTATATTTATAATAATTATTATAACATGTACATCATTATGTACTTGTTTTAATACCCTTACAGAATAACTTTAAATACTTTGCAATTTCATTTCTGCCTTTCTATCAGAACTGACTCAAAGGCACTTAACAACAGCAATTGTAGGTTCATTTAAAATATTGAATACAATTTACTAAATAGTATTTTTCTTTTAGACAAAGATTTTTTCACATATGCCTAGTTGTAATATGCTTTATTATTTTTACTGTACATTTAAAAACTCAATTTCTGTTTCAAATTTTATTCAGAAAGCTTTCAAGATCTTTCTTGAGAAACCAAGGCTATTTTTTTTAATTAGAGAAGCTTTAGTAATATTTTTGCACTTAAGATCTTATTCTTAGTTTCGCTTCAGTCTCAACTGTTACTCCTTGGTTGTAGTATGCAAGTTTATAATTTCAGCTGCAGTGGAAGAAATATTGGTGAGAAGGGAGAAAATATTGAGTGGGCATTTGCACTATTTGGATTTGCATATAAATTACATTACACCCATTTCTTACTTAATGACATGGTTAGATTTCAAAGACCAGGAAAATTGCCGTAATGGGAAAATGGAGGATGGCTACTGTATTTCATAACTACCAAATTATGTCATCACTTAAGTGCCAAGCCACTGAGAGTCATGTCCAGCCAAATTGACACATAATCTCAACCAGCATGGCCTGCATCCTTCCTGCCTTACACCTTGGCATTCATTACTGCCAGACGTATGCCATTAGTGCACAAAATACTCTGATAATAGATTTTTTACTATTGTTATAAGTGTGAAATGTGGATAATCAAATAGTTGACAAGTGACTAGGTATATTTTGTTTTGCTATAATTTGATGTTATTATGCTGAAGTCTCTGACGCTCATTATTACTTCAGAGATATTTCATCCACAAGTGGTAGCTCACTAGCAATCACTCTGATTAAGATGACAATCATAGATGCTGGATAGAGAAGGGGGGAAATGTAGAACAAGACTCAATAGCATTCAAATGAGTAGACTTGCTGGCCTGGTAGAGGCTGTGGAGCCCTTGAGACTATAACTGTGAGAAACCCCTCAAGCCTGGAGTTGAACCCATCTCTGGGATTGATTTTCAACCAAATAGTAGCCCTATAAAGTGAATAAGAACACCAGGGAGGAAGGCACTCCTCAGCACAGTCAACCATCTGAGAGAGAAGGGCAGCATTTGCCCCAAAACAATGCTCAGAAGGCAGGAAAGAAGGGTAGATGGCTGGAAATCAGGAACTCAGGAGGAAACGTGAAGAGTGCTGTTACATTGAAGGGTTTACAACCAGTGTCACAAGTCACAATGTGTATAAATTGTTGAAAGGAAAGCTCTTAAACTTTCACTCAAACTACTACAATAGTTTTTTTTCAAGTGGTAGTAGCTCACTTCAAAAGTCTTAATGATATTGCCATTTTGACCTTTTAAGTGAAAATGCCATTGTTCTACTTATTGAAACTTTTAAGTGAAAATGCCATTGTTCTACTTATTGAAAACAAATGTTAGGCAGCTCTTCTTATCTTTAATATTCTTTGCAAAGATCTAAATTGTACCCAGTGACCTCCTATATTTACACAAGGAGAAAGGGTCTTTTATTTTGACATTACAAAGAGTTGTTAAGTGCCTTTGAGTGAATTCCTGGGCGACCCAATATAAGGTTTCCATGGGTTTGAATCAACAGCCTTGTGGTTAGGAGTTCAGTGTTTATCCACCAGCGCAACACCAAGACTCCATTGACCTTATCTTTAAAGATCTCTAGGAAATTACTTCATCACTGCCTTTGATAGTAGATTTACATATGCTTAAAGTCAAGAGGCTCTTTAGATCAGAGATGTTTAAATTAGTTTTGAAATGTTTCTTCCCATTATTTACTCTCTTGAGTCATATTATAAAAACAAAACAACTTGCTGTTGAGTGGATTCCAACTCATAGGGAACCTCGTGTGTCAGAGTAAACTGCTGTACAGAGTTTTCAATGACTGATTTCTTAGAAGTAAATTGCCAAGCCCTTTCTTCCATCTCATCTCTGGGTGGATTCTAATTTCTTCCTTGGGTTAGCAGCTGAGTTAGCCATTTGCAACACTTAGCAATTCACATTACATCTGTAGGTGTCAGGATTCCTCTACAGTTGTGAAGGGATTACCCCTAGTAATACATTGTAATTGGCAGGTTTTCACTGAGCATCTAAGGTGTGACTGTTTTGAAATGATGGAGTTGGGAAATACTTTGTACTCCCACTAATGAAGTATCAGTAAATGGTAATTACTAAGAGTGGATTTCAGGATAAGGCATAATTCATTTCCAGGGGGTTTTATTAAGAGTGGACTTCACCATTGGTGATAGGGCCACATTATTAATTACGTTCTAATAAAATACATTTTGTTGTTAAGTGCCAGGAATTTGTTTCCAATTCATAGTGACCATGTATAGGGTTTCCAAGGAGTAGCTGGTGGATTTGAACTGCCAACTTTGTGGTTAGCAGTCCAGTGCTTCTCCTACAGTGCCACATCTACAAACAATGACATTCTCCTACATAATGCCAATCCAGTCACTAAAATTAGGAAATTAACATTGATGCATTGTTGCTGTTGTTAAGCGCCATCAAGTCAGTTCCAACTCAGAGACCCTGTATAGGATTTCCAAGGAGTAGCTGGTGGGTTTGAACCGCCACCTTGTGGTTGAAACCAGCCATGCAGTCCAATACTTACCTTTCAGCACAACACCAGGACTACCATCTAATCCTGGTGTGGTGCTGTAGGATAAGTAGTGGAGTGCTAAACACAAGATCAGCAGTTCAAGTCCACCAGCCAGTCCTTGGAAACCCTATACATGGTCGTCATGAGTGGGAAACAATTCCACGGCACTTGACAACAACAAAATATTAAGGGGTAATGTGCATGAGGTAGGTAACTTACTCAAGTGGTTCGGAAGAAGGAGGGGAATATGTTCTTTGTAACCTTTCTCTGAATTTGAGATTGTTTTAAAAAAATTATTTCCAAATGTTGAAGAAAATTGGATTGTATTCTGTAATTAGCAAAAGAGCGAAGCTGACTGTGATTGATGTGAGTCCTAAATTGAGCTAACTGTTCTTAAACCACTGACAGAGTCAGCTCTAACTCATAGCAACCCTATGTAGGGTTGTGGATTCACAAAACTGTGAATCTTTACAGGAGCAGACAATTTCATCTTTCTCCTGCAAAGCAGCTGGTGGATTTGAGCCGCTGGCCTTGTGGTCAGCAGACCAATGCCTAACCCACAGCGCAGCCCGGCCTCCTTGCTATTGGGTATTTTTAATATGAAAAGCAGTGTAACAGCTTATTGTTAAGAGTACAATTTAAAGCACGATATCTTTGATTCTAGAGATTATATTTAGTAATTTATGCATATCGATTTAACACATTGGGGATTTTTTTTATGTTAGAAAAAATTTACTCATGATATTTTAAGGTAGTGTTATTTTTTAGATTATCTTTAAAGTGTCTCTCAAGATGCTATGTATAATGAATGTGTTTAAATTCATCTGTAGTGCTGAATCCAGACAACACATTTGAAGTATTGATTGATCAAACAGTTGTAAACAAAGGAAGCCTTCTAGAGGACGTGTCTCCTCCTATTAATCCTCCCAAAGAAATTGAAGATCCCAGTGACAAAAAACCTGATGATTGGGATGAAAGAGCAAAAATCCCTGATCCTTCTGCCGTCAAACCAGATGATTGGTAAGTAAAACACCCAGTTTGATACAAAATGCATTACTTGTCATAATTAAGAAATGAGATATGTCATATCAGTGACATTTACAACCAATAGAACTTTTGGTTCTATTTTTATTCACTCTTTATTTTTAAAGATTGAGACTATTTATTTTTACTTTTTTGGGTGGAGTGTGTATGTAAAATGGATTTTGGACTTACCTAACATTTAATTACTTATTTTAAATCATTAAGTTTGTTATCTTTTTCAATATTATTTATTTTTTATACTTTACTATGAGAAAAAATTCCATGAATCTAAAACACAAAACATTTTCATTTTCATTCTGGCTCTGATCCTTATCACTATATAGAGAGAGTTTTTACATATAGTTCCATTGTAATTTTTAGGGGGAAGTTCTGCTGGCACTGCGGGTTAACATGCTGGACTGTAAAGTTGGCTTGAACCACAAGGCTGGCACTTGAAATTCACCAGCCACTACTGTACCGACTCTATGCACTAAACAACAATAGAATTGTTGTTTTATAGTCAGTTAATACTGAACCCCAAACTAAACCCACTGTCACTGAGTTGATTCTAACTCATAGCAACCCTGTAGGACAGAGTAGAACTGCCCCTTATAGTTTCCAAAACTATAAATCATTACAGGAGCAGACAGCCTCATCTTTATCCCAAGGAGTACCTGGTGGTTTTCAACTGCCAGTCTTGTGATTAGCAATCCAATGCTTAACCCAACTGCAGTTGGCCTTAAATAGGTCCTATCCTCAACATCTTAAAAAAAAAGATTTACAATTTACTCATAGCAAATTTGCTCAACTATTTCAGTAGATGGTTATGTGTGTTGTCTTCTTTCTATAGGATTAGGCATATTTGCCTAAAACAAAAGGTTATAGACTGCTGACTCAAGGAATTTTCATGGCTCTGGTCACCTGTATTTGGATTTTCCAGAACAGCTGAACTGCTACCAGTAGCTCTTTTCCAGTATCCATTCATGTTTCCATGGCATTCTACCACCATCATATTTCTGTCTTTTCATCTTAATTACTTGTTAATCTTTTTGTTATGGCTAGCATTTCTGATTCTTATTACTCACTTTTTTTTTAGTTTGATAGAATCAGTAATTTATCAGTTGCATTAATATTTTTCCAAAGCACTAACTTTCTTTAAAACTTTCCTGCTATATTTACACTTTAAATTGTCTTGGTATAACCTTGATGTTTTTCATTTTTCTGCTTTTTCTTTGATTTGCTCTATTTTCCTTTTTTAGACTTTTCAAATTTCAAATTTTGGGTAATTCCTTCTCCCTACCCTTCCACCCCGGAGTCCTGGTGTGGCGGTATGGGCTAAAGTAGCAGACTGCAAAGTCGTTTGAACTGCATGGTTGGTGGTTCAAGCTCACCAGCTGCTCCTTGGAAACCCTATACAGAGTCACTATGGGTCAGAATCAACTTGACAGCACTTAGAACATCAACTACCCTCCCACCCTGTTTATTGATTCCAACAGTTGATTTTCCTCAAAGTGCTTTAAAAGCACCTGACAGATTTTTGTATTTTGTACATATTTTCCTATTGAACGTATTCTTGGTTCTTTTTTCTCCCAGACTCAAGGTATTTTTTAAAAAGTGTTTTTAGTGGCAAAATTGTTGGATAAGTTTTATCTCTCTCCCTCTTTCTGTCTTTCCCTTTTTCCTTCCTTCCAATTCCTTTTTTTCACCTTCCTGCCTATTTTTATTATATGAGGATCTCAGAAAGTATTACTACAAAATTACAGAAATCATTATTAAACACAAATATCAAAATGCAAAGCTGTTTCTTTCTTGACATAGCCTCCATTTAGATCTGTGCATTCTCTAACCCTTCCCTCAAAGACAGAAAGGCTATACCGAAAATCTGTAACACTCCTAGATTTATACCACATCCAAATAGTAGTTTGGAATCGTCAAGGGACTCAAATTGTGGTCCTTTTCAATACTCTTTGAATTTTTAGAACAAAAAAAGTCTGAAGCAGCAAGATCAGAGCTGTAGGGGGGATGGAATAAGGTTTCCTAATGAAATTTGGGTGGGACCACCCTTGCTGCTGGGAAGGATGAGCAGGTGCATTGTCATGACAGGAGAAAACTTCTTCGGCGTCAATTTCTTGGCCTTTTTCTCACCCTTGCAGTTTTCAGGTTTCTTCAAACTTTTTCCTAACATGCTCCTGTGATCATCTTGTGTCCTTCAAGAAAACCTATCAAGATGACCCATTTGGAATAAAATAGTTCTCATAATCCTTAAGCTGACCTCTCTGCCTTGAATTTAGCTGGCCCTCAGAAGCCACTGTTTTGACTGGACCTTTTTTGGAAGACACCCTAGGGAGATGAAGATAAGTGTATTGCTGAGAGAAATTGTCTGCAACCACCCATTGGTTGCAGAGATATGTTTAAATCATTTTGTTAGGAATAAACCTCTTCGTGAGTAAACTGAAACCCTAGTGGCAATACTTTTTGTTTTGTTTTAGTTTTTATTGTGAATTGAGTGGTAGTTTACATGGGAGAACATCAGTTTTACACTCACTCTATCGTATTTTGTTTCACTGCAATGATTACAATCTCTTCCGTGCATCATCATTCAACAGTATTTGCTTCTGTCCCTTTTTTTTTTTTTTTTTTTTTCAGAAGACGGCATACGAGATGAATTGCTGTGACTGGAGTTCAGACGTGTGCTTTTTTGATGTACACAAAAACACTCGGGAATATATAACCATTTAAAACCATTTAAACAACCAAAGAGCACATTCTGCATGCCTGCCTCCTGGCCACCAGCACACAACCTTTCTCTTTCCAAGAGTTTAGAGTCCTCAGCTGCTGTATCGTTCCATGCCCTCATCTCTGCCTCCATCTCTGGTGTTGCTGCTTGACTTATTCTCACAATGAGTGGGATTCAAAAGTACAGAAATGTCCCACTACCACATGCAAACTAATCAGTAGTACTATATTGTCAGGGTCACTTTAGAGTATTTCATCTAGAGTTCCCTTTGTAACCTTTCCCATTCCTGTATCCTTTCCCCTAGAAACAGCCATTGATGTGAATTTACTTGTGTATCCGTCAAGTCTGTTTCACATTTTATTTGCTACGTGTTTCCATAAAATACATCTTTCAAAATCTACATGAGTAATTGAGCCCTGGTGGCACTGTAGGTTAAAACTAGGATGAAAACTAGACTGCTAACCCCATCAGCCACTCCACAGGCAAAAGATGAGACTTCCTGCTCCCTTACAGATTGACAGCCTCGGAACCTCTATACAGAGTTGATATGAGTCAGAACTTACTCCATAGCAGTGAGCTTGGCTTTTTTAAAATCATAGTATACAAATTCTGAAACTTTCTTCAATTTGCATTGATGTACTTACATATAGTTGATGTATCATTGTTTTAAGCGCCACGAAGTCAATTCCAACTCATAGTGACCTTATACAGAGTTTTAGTGGAACAGATGGTGGGTGTGAACCACCAACCCTGTGGTTCACAGTCCTGTGCTTATCCTACAGTGTCACACCAGTAGTCCAATTACTTATGATATATGTATAATTACTTTATTGTAAATTCCATTGTGTAAATACAGTCTCTTATATTTGGGTTATTTTGTACTTTTCATATTATAAACAATGCTTGAATAGCATTCGTAGAATCGCTTTGCTAGATGTTATCCTACTGTTCTCCAAAATTATTGTAATTTACATTTTTACATTAGCCTTATTGTTGGGATTGAATTTATATGCCAGGGCTAGTGATGGTGAACTGATATCTCATCACTTCCTTATTGATGATATTTGATGAGATCATCAGCCATTGAGCTTTCTTCTATGAATTGTAGGTCCTTTTGTAGACCTTATAATTTTATGATTGTCTTTGATACAACTAGACCTGTCTGTCCAATCTCTTTCATTGCTAAGTTTGGATAGCACAACTTCAGCTAATGCGATCCTGGTAGACATGCAGAATCAGATAAATCTGTTTGCTTCCAAGGTTTTATTTTGGATTCCATTTTTTCCTCCTTGGTTGGCTAATTATGAGTGTTTTCTCTTTGATTTGTTTTAGTGGTTTCTCTCAGTTTATCATATGCACCTTTAACGTACTTTAGCCAACTCAAATAATACTATACCACTTCACATGTAAATTAACTTTATTACTAGTATCTTATGTTCTCCCCTTTCATCTTTTATGATATTATCATGTAGTTTACTTCTACTTATACTGTGAATGTCATAACATAGTATTTATTCTTCAAACAATGGTATTTTAAAGCTAAAACGAACAATGTGGAGGCATATGGCTGAGCGATTAACTGCACTACCCATCTGTCTGTGTATTCCAGCTTTTCAGTGTATCGTTTAGTGCCTTTTTTTTTTTTTTTTTGGACTGATTTTCAGCACTTCCTATGGGTTGTATTTTCAAACTTCTTCCATTCTCTTGAGTTTTTTTATTTTACATTAGACATGTGATTTTTATATTATTGTTTGTTAGTTTTATTGTATTACTTTGTTGTCGTTCAGTGCTGCCCAGTCACTTCCTACTCAGAGTGACATCCTACTCAGATGTACAACAGAAAGAAACATCGCTGGGTCCTGGGCCATCCTCACAATTGCTACTACGCCTGAGCCCATTGGTGCTGCCACTGTGCCAATCCATCTCACTGGGAGTCTCCCTCTTTTTCCCTGTTCCTCCATTTTACCAAACAGGATGTCCTTCTTTTGGTGCTTCCCAATAATATGTCAAAAGTATGAGAGAAGAAGTTGGACCATCCTGGCTTCCAGGGATCATTCTGGTTGTATTTCTTCCAACACAGATTTATTTGTTCTTCTAGCAATCCATGATACCTTTAATATTCTATAACATCATAACTCAAATGCATCAATTCTTCTATGGTCTTTTTTATTCATTGTCCAACTTTCACACGTGTGTGAGGCTACTGAAAATATTGTCGCTTGGGTCAGGTGCATGTTAACCATCAAACTGACATCTTTGC